ACAGTTAAGTCAAAAGCAAAAAACATATATTCTACCACAAGAGAAACCATTTCATACTTCCATATGAAGGCCAGAGATTCCTACACATTCTGTTTCCTTTCATAATTAATGATATATGTGTAGAATTTTTCACTTCCCTCATGAATGTTGTTACAAGCTGCATGGGGATCTGGGTCCTTCGTCAGGCTGCTCCTGAACAGCTATCTGCCAGAGTTCCCTTTTGTCATGTCCCTTTTGGCCATGTGACAACAAATAAAAAACTAATTTTATGTGATTTTTTTGTTTCTTGGCAATGAACAATGCACCAACTAAACTGGAAGTATATACCAAGTAGAATGCGAGATACCCCAAGCACGTTAAGAACACGTTTAGAGAATATTAAGTGTGCTTTCCGTCTAATAGTCTGTTGAGCTCTGCCGCGGTCTTCTACCTAGTTTGGCCACTATCGCGTACAAAGTATATTTCAATCTAGTATTACTTAACTCCACATATAAACTAAGTATATACTTTTTATTATACCTTTTTAATGGAAGTACAAAATTAGTTTTTTTTTTAGTACTATATCTGCTGGTCTATAAAAAAGCATTACACACATACCGATGACAGAGAATATGTGATGTATGAAACATACAGCCCATCTCTTCATGTGAATAGTCTAGTATAATTCTAGAACAAATTTATACCAGATGCAATATAAGCATTCTCCCTCATTGGAATTCGAGAGTGAAAAGTAATTTTCACAGGCAACAAAAACTGTAAATAATCGCAATATATTGAAGAAGATATAGCCTTCGATTAGCAGTATGTTTTTCGCTACGTTTCAGAGCACAGCTCTTAGGCGCCCGCTTCCGGTTTGAGCGGCGTTTCCGTCGGCGTCGACGTCAGCTTCGGCGTCGGCGTAATGCGCGCGTTGCATTTTGGGAAATTTGCCCGCTAAATTTCCCGGTCAAATCTTTCCGCTAAATTTAGCGGGGGAAATTCACGTCACGTGACCTCAACACCCATTCAATTTCCCCGCTAGATTTGGCAGAAAAACGTTTTCCTATATTTGTCCGCTAAATTTAGCGGAAAATTTAGCAGAGGACTTCCCGCTAAATAAGAGGGCAGAAGGCCAGGAAGAGGGGATATTCGGAGGGGGAGGAGGAGTTGAATGTACTCCCCTCCGTACCCTTCTTTCCCCCTCCTCAAAAGCTGAGCTTTAATACGGCGTTACGAAGAGTTGTAAACGTCTATATTTTTTGCTATTTTAGGTCTGGTGCGAAAATAGTAGGGAAGGAAGGCTGCGATATGATGTACAATATGACCCCCACAGCCCTGGCAAGTATCGGTGAGTGAATGTTTGTTGGAGTGAAACGAGATCCTCAAAGATAATTCCATATGTCACTATAACGAGCACTGTAATGACACGACAATCCCCGTTGCATTTGGAGAAGTTTATTCAGTTTTTGTTTTTTTTATCGTACGACTGAAGTTTTTTACAAACGGGAAGATGTAAAACAAGGCATATTGGAAGTTTGAACACACTGAAAAAACCCGGCGACGAGGACCGCAAAAAAAAGTGCAGAAAATCTCTTGATTGTTTTCCCATTTTTGGCGTCTCCTCGCCTCCGAGGATTTCCAGCATGTTCGCTCACGAGTTCCACCGCTCAATACTCCCTATATCTCAATGTTTGAAGTCAGTTTGCCTGAACGTCATTGCAGAAGCTTTATGCTTCAGACATAGAAGAGGGACACCCATAATTTTTTTTATTTTGTAGTGTACAGTTATTCCTATATATATATGTGTGTATTAGAAAAGACACTCCTAGGTATAGTACACCCGACGTTTCACAAAATCGCATAGTTAGTCTTTTGGAAAATGTTCACTTTCAGCCGCTTCCCAAGCGGTATTCAAACTTCTCGGCGTCCTTCCTGAGGTTTGTGAGTGGTGCGGAAATCCTTGCGAATCTTGAACGAAGCGCCGAGTGTAGGCACATGGTCCAAAGGATCTTCGCACAGCCCTCTCGTCTTTCGGCGCTGGAAATGCCTCGACGGTCCGAGTCTTCTCTGGGTCTGGGCAAACCTCTTTGTTACTAACTTGGTTCGTCATAGGCCAACTGATGTTCGCCTATGACGAACTTCAGTTCGTCATAGGCGAACTGACTTTTCGACGGCTTAAGGAAGAGTCCGGTGGTCCGTGTGGCTTGGAGAATAGCTCGGAGTCGTCGCAAGTGCTTGTCGAAGTCGCCGGAAAACACTAAGACATCCTTCAGCTAGACGAAGCAGCTCCCTACTGAAAAAAACCATTTGGAGCCCATATGAAAATAAACGGGTCCATACCGGTAACCGTTTAACCATACTGGTCACCAGTTTGTCAAAGGGGTCGCCCGTATGGCTCAAAGGGTTCCCCCGTATGAGCCATAACGGTCACCTATTTGGCAAACGGGTCGCTCGTCTGGGCAAATGGGCGACTCGTTTGGGCAAAGTTGTCGCACGTTTGCTCAAACCGGCGACCATGTTGCAAACTGCACCGGTTTAATCAAACGGCTCTCCGGAGCCCGTTTGATATTGAACGTACAGATCGGCGGCGTGGGCACGCCTAGCGTTTCAGCCGTGGCAGCCAATGTTTTCCGGAAGGCTGGGAGCGCCGGTTCATCGATTTCAGATCGTCCGCGTAATGCAAGTAATTATATTTATATTTCAATTGCGCTGATTTTCGATTATACTGCAACTAAAACTAACACCTTTTTTTTTTGTTTTACGTAAACGCGCGACGTTGGTGAGCCGATATTTTTGACAGACCTTTAATACTTTGTCCATCTTTGTTGCCTCAATTTACTTATTCAGCTCGAATCTCTTTCGCAGAAGACGCGACCGCGTGAAAGAATATACGTCTAGACTCCGTTTCACTTTAATTCAAGACGCAGCGAAGTTAGCACGCGTACACGCGGCTGCAAGAACATCGAGCATTGCGAGAGCACGCCCGCCGTTGCAGCACTCAAACTACGAGCTTGCGCTGAGTTCTTTCTTCGCTCGGGCGCAAGCCGAGCTTCTGGCAGCCCCGCCCCCATTTCCAAAGTTCGAGCGCGCGCGCGCGCGCGCGTTTGTTCTTCGGGACTACAAAAACGCATCTCCCTGGAACGCCTGGGGAGAGGGAGAGGGGCTGTCCCGGTGGTCCCAGCGCCTTGACCTCGCTTCCTCCCTCCTCTCTTTTCACCCCTGTCACGTGACCCACAGCAGCGCGCGAGCTACACGCTGATAAGCATCGAGATCCGGAAGGGCGCGCCTTGCAGCCGCTTCTTTCTTTGTCTGCTTGTTGTCAGTTGCTGCTCGAAGTTCGCTCGTCCTACCTGCTTCAATCTGTCGCCTAACCCTGCAATCTTATTGGGATGTCTCGACAACGTATTGGATGTGCACCAAAGCTATCAGTGTTCGAAAAGACCCACGTGTATGTCGGCAACGAGCGATTCTTCAAAGAAGTCGCAAATTCTCGCGGTTTGGTTGGGTTCGGCAAATGACAGCTTGTGCGCCGCATCGTGTTGAAACTTCCAAGGAGCCGTTCCCTCTCGTTTGTGTTTGTGTGGTTGTCCTGCTTTGACCGTGTCGATAAATATCACGGATTACCTCTTTCAAGTCCGCTATTGTTATGGTAAGTGCACTGCAACCTGCGTGTTGGCAACGATTGACCGTTCTTCTACGCGTACTCTTCTAAATTATCTAAAGAATTATGCAGCGCCTATTCGCGCGGCAGCCAGGAGAATAATTTCCCCGAAAGTCTACCTGTATAGTGTTCACAGATCGCTTGCACGTTTGTACTTGTCTACAGAAGAGGTAATAAACTTTGAGGAGAATTGAAAACAATCTTTTGTGTCGGTTTTCCTGTCCACTTACAAGCACCTACGCGAGTGCATTTGTTCTACGTGTTTTCTCCATGTTATAAATACGTTTATGAGTTTCGGGACGTCTTAAATATGTTTAAGATAACCAACCTCCCAGACGATACCCATTTAGGGCTAGCGCATAATTTGCCATTTCGAAGGGCACGTTCAAACGTGTGGTCACGTGCCATGTCGAACGGGTACTCGTACCATACGGCACCCGTATCAAACGGGCACCTGTATCAAACGGGTACCGTTTCGAACGGGTACCGTTTCCAAACGGGTACCCGTATCCCATAATCACGTTTGATCCAAACGGATCGACAGGTTTGATTCAAACGGGCGACCAGTTTGCCACCCGTTTGAATTTCAAATGGTTTTTTTCAGTAGGGCTCTGACAATTCAGTTCTGCAAGTACGGTGTCCATAACACACTAAAATGCTGCTGGCGCCGTGCATAGACCGAACACTCTAAATCAGGTTACTCATGTTGTTACTGATGCGCACACTGTTACTCATGGTAATGAGTAACAAAATCAAACCTGTTTTTGTGATTTATTTCCGAAGCACTGGCATAGATAGCTGCCTCATGAGTAACACGGGAAAAGCGAGAGCTTCATGGGTAACGAAGCGCTTCACTCGCGAATCGTTACCCATGCTTTCGCATTGTTCCTCATGCGGACCACGAAGACCTGCAAAATGTAATGCCGCTAAATCTAGCTTTTCGCGGAAAGTCGTCTACGAACAAAGAGCAGCCATGGAAGCAAAAAATAAAATAAAGAAAATAACACGGGTGCCGGGAAGCGAAACTCTCCGAGAAGGGGACGTTTGTTTGCTATAATTGTTGGAGACCGGGGACCGCTGCGGCGGGCATAACTTTTTCAAGAAAGGTGAGTACGAAGCGGCATAATCCTTTGATTCGCTTTTGTTATTCTGACCTCGGTATATCCACACAGACACTCCTCTGACAAGGCAGCCTGTACAATGTCAGTCAGGCCAGGCCTAACGAACACCGACCTCGGCGGCACCACTCGCGGCTCCTGCGCGTCCCTGGACTGCTCGTGTGGGGCTTTTGTGAACCGTGAGGACGCATTTGGATATGTGGACTGTCCGGCCGGTTGGTGCTTGATTTGTGGCCGTCCACCAGCACAGCACGGGACTTTAGGTGAGTCAGTTTGTGGAAACAGGGCTGGTCTTGACCGCGTCTCACGTTGCTGCGCTCAGACTCTGTCCCGGAGCGCGCGCGTTCGGCCGACGCACGATTCACTGAGCGGAGAGGAGCACCTTCGGCGACCGAAACCCGAGTGCGCTCCCGATGTACTTATTTCCATTAGGAGCACGAGTGGCTTTTTCGAGCTCAGTGGCGACGCTTTCGCCTCATCTGTTTCGCTATTCTTTTGGCTGGTTTTGGTTAGAGCTCAAGCTTCTTGATCTGTCGTGCCTACGCAGCGCCAAGAGCCGACTCAGCGCGCTCCGTCGGCATCGTCACGACACGCTGGCGAAAGCCAAGCAGTCTATAGTCCGGCGCCTCGGTGCAGCCAGCGTGCTTCGTCGTCTACCGGCGGCTTGCTTGCGTGACGTAGCGATGGCGCGCGCGCGTCGGAGTGCGCTGCGTTGCAATATATAGACGGTTTACACACGCGCCCGATTACAGCCACCATTGCCGACCTTCTCTTGTCTTACCGAGACGCCAAGCCACTCAAGCGGGCTTTCACGAACCTCCACAAAGGACAACGCAGGGCAGAAAGACACAGTTCGACCTAAATTTGATAGGCTCTTGGGAGCACTTAAAACACGGGTTTTATTACTTGTTACTCAGGGTTAAAAGCAGGTGCCATAGTGCATTTTACAAAGGTCGCAAAACTTAGCTATGGCCTAAATGAGATAGGTTAATAATTGCTCTGTCTGGAAACTTTTTAAATTTAATTTTGTATAAGCCTTTTTCTTTTCAATACATCTGATCCTGTTATGAAAACTAAAGTATTGAGTAACTCCACATCGCCTTTTTTAAAACTTCGCTTTATTTTATACCTTTTTTTCGGCCAGCTCTACTATTTTTGCACCAATAAATTTTAGAAAAAATATGTTGCTCCGTGTATCGCTCTAATCAGGCCTGGTTTGTATTATATCCTGTGAATGTTCCCGGCTCTTATTCGTCACACTTAGTTTTCAACAAAATTAATAACTCCATTCTTTCATTCTTAATAACTCCTTGAAATGAGGCCTAAAATATTTTTATGTTCGTTGAGGTTTTTGCTACACGACCACAACAAATAGCCAAACATATACGAATGGCGTAAACATCAAATAGGGACTGAATAAAAAAAAATATTATGTTTCAGCTTATCCCTTGATATGTGTATAATATCCAATGCTTATAGCTCTGTGCAGAACCATTCCACGTACTTAATTTTTCATTTGGTTAAGAGAGTGAATCCTGAGCGGCTTGCAGATATCGAAATTCGAAAGTAATCTTAAAGAAAACGGGATAATTTCCTGACTTATTCCAGGCACCTCCTTCCATTAAATAAATGAAAACAAAAAACTTGAGTAGAATGAGAGAAACTTGATACAAGGATAGCGTTTGGTTTGCGATGAAACCACTCTTTCATATACAACCTGTGACTGATAAATACGAATATCTATTTATTTGCAGGAGAGGCAGTGCATATATGCAGGAATACAGCTTTAGTCCTTCAAAATAATTTTCCCCATGGTTGCGGATTTCTGGCAACGCGTGCCTCGCATACTTTGAGTGAAGGCAGCCTGTGGGGTGTGGTTGAGTTCAGCATTCACATTATGTTGTATGTCAGCAGTGTCCGAACTCTGTTGTCTTTTCAAGCGTTTCTTCGAGCGTAGGAAAAGGAAAAAGGGTAAATAATTCTTGAGCAAGGGGGAAGGGGGGTGGGTGATGAAGAAATAATTCATTTGCTGTATTTCCGTATGTATCGATCACCGAAATTATTGATCACCGGATTCATGCGCCGTATTTATTGGTTACAAGTTTGATATTGCAAAGCTGTTAAAGAAAAGTGTTCTAGTTTTGCTGCACTTCTTTTCGTACAGTGAAAACAATCTCGTTAAGGAGGCCAATACGGCACTTAGAAGAGTGCAATATTCATTGCTTGGGTCAACTTTGGCACAAAAATACCCGGACATGCTTTGGGACCGACCGAAACCTGGGACCAAGCTCTCAACGAGACGTCTCTGGGTAAATACATTTTCAACTGTTTAATTACCACTGCCCCGTGCTTCGAATGGTATCAGGGAGGGTTCCTAAAATATCTGTTTTGACTTCTGGCAGAGTGTATTCATGTGCCGGTTAACAGCGAGGCGAAAGATGAGGTTCGCACGAGAAACAAAAGACAAGGCGCAGGCAAACAATGGAGCGGATCAGTATGATGTAGACACTCTAGCGCAGCAGTCCACCCCAGATGCTCTCAAGGAACTGGAGGTAAATTTGTCTCCTGGCTCTCTTATGTGCATTCCAGCATTCAATGCCTCACACCCCCCTCCCTCTTTCAGTCCATCGACTCTGCTGTCAAGTGCCCAGCCTCAGTAAATGTGCCATATGTAGTCAAGCTCCTCAAAGTGACATTTGAAGAGAGGAAAGGCACCGTCTTGGACAAACTTCCAGTCTACTTCTTGAATGCTGAATGCGTAAGTGAGCATTTTCTATTTCATTCTAGTACGCACGCCGACCAAATCATACAGGCTGCTCTTTTTAGAGCATTGTTGACTATGTTTACCGTAAGAATGAACTTTGTCTACTCTCTTGGATAGCTGCTCGCAGAATGCGAGCTGCACTTCGCCATGAGTTTTACAAGCATGAAAGGCGTGTGCACCAGCATACTGGAGGGCTTCGGCAAGGATCACGGGATACGCCAAGCAACACTGATGGACGTTCAAGCCTTTCTGCGGTCAAGATCATCCCGCGATGATGCTTTGAGCACGGTCAGTCAAATTTACTAATAAGATAAACGCTTCATGTAATGGCCATGTTAGAAACACGGTATTAGGAACAAGCATTTTTTATGGGGGCTTGCATTGACATGAAATTTAATACAATCCTCGTTGCGTTTTAAAAATAGCTGCGTGACTACATTCCCGCAGAGTGCTCGGTGGACAAACCAGCGTGATGTACGAAATGAATTCAATGAATCAAAAGATCGCAAATATGCTTAGCGTGAAAATGAAGTGTGCATTGGGATACTGAGCACGACGATTTACCTGTCCAGTCATGCTCAGTCTCCCATGAGAGACATCATTTTTATGTCTAGGCATACCTGCGGCATTGTCATTCGTCAGATGTCTTTCATGGACCACGGTAATAGACTTACCCAGTGCTCGGCAGGGAAGTATAGTCGCGTAGATACTTTTTAAGACTGTGGGTTCAAAGCTATCATACTGACATTTTGCTTTTTGCTCAGTGATAATACGCCCATAACTCGGCCATTTGACTACCCAAAAAGCAATGCTCTTTAACTGACTTCGAATCAAAATAATCAAATTTAAGCCCACATTGACGCTGAGCGCAGCTATAGAGTGAGAGCGTGAAGATGGGTAGCAGCTATTTTATTAGAGCTTTGGGCACTTTGTTTCCAGGAAGACGTTCCGACAGTTGAGAGAGGATGCCCAGGACCGAAAGCCTTTCTGGGGTCCAAAACAAAGGATATTCTCTGTCCCGGAAGCAGTCCCCAGGTGGTCAACTTACCAAGCACCTTCTCCGACCTCAAGGCGTCTGTCCTTCTGCTGGGTGTTTATTATAGTTTGAACTTGAGCTATCCATCTTCCTATGGGCAGCTTTTAGGGTTTTTGCAAACATTCATTGTAAAACGGGGGTCAAGGTTCGACAGAGGTTACCAATCAGCTCGCCTCTGCTCCCTGATAAGTGCTTGCAAACAGTATTTGAAGTAGCTTAACAAATTGAGCGCTATTCTGGTTCTTGACAAGAGTACGGATCTTCCTCCTTTGCGAAATTTTCTACTACTTTTATTTCAAAGTTCGTTTGAGTAAAATAGGGTGTAGTTCTAAGTTAGAAATTGCGACAAGCATATCATCCCGAGATGTGATAAAATTTGTTTGGAATAAAGTTCTTTCAAGTTGAGTATTGCTTCTCTCATGCCAAACAGTTATTTTTGCCCTTCCAGCAAGCCCGTCTGGCACCTGGGAGGTTGTTGGCGAATAGATTTCATCCCGCTTCTCTGCATTCACTATAAAGTTGCCATCGAACCGCCAGGCAACTTGCTGCGTCCCCATTTCCAGTTTATTGGGAGAGCAAGCTATAAGAATTTCGTCATCATTGCGGTTGAGGATCACGCGTCATCTTTAAATGATAGGTATATTAATTCCCAGGTCCGGTGGGCAAGCTGACAGCATGCCGAACCCAGTAGCACCCTCACAAGAGCTCGGGGATCAGCGCTGCTCTTAAATCCAGGCCTGCAAGAAACATTCAAAGGCGGGAAAATTTTCTCGCCACTCTTTCACTGGTCCCCCTCGCACTTAGGGGGGGGGGGGGGGGAGTGTGAGGAGGTTTTAAACATAGGAAGCCGTTTTTGCTCATGGGATGGGTAACGTCCTGCTACTCATGGGATGAGTAACGTTCGCATGAGTAACATAATTACGCATAAATCAAGCGGCACAAAAGATGCACTTTTGTGCCGCATGTCATGAGTAATCACATTTAGAGTGAAGGGCAATGCACGGCGCCAGCAACTTTTCAGCCAGCGGAACAGTTTGAACTCGTACTGTCTATCCGGCGTGACGAAAGTTGTCTTCTCTCAGTCACGTTCTTCGAATTCGATTTGCCAATAGCCGCTCTTTAGGTCTGTCGATGAAAGGTATCGAGAGTGGTGTAGCCGCTCTAGCGTGTCGTCGATGCGGGGGAGTGGGTAGACATCTTCCTTCATCGCCGCCTTCCGTTTCCGCTAGACCACGCAGAACCTAAGCTTTCCGTCCTCCTTCTGAACTAGTACGACTGGAGTGGCCCACGGACTGCTTGAATGCTGGATTATGTGGTCGTTCAGCATCTCATAAACAGTCGCCAGGATTACCTCTCTTTTTTTTTTTTTTTTACGAAGACGCGGTACGGCGATCAATACACAGGGAGCGCGTCGTACTTGCTAACGATGCGGTGGTTTGCAACGGCGGTGTGGCGTACCTTCACCGACGTCGTAAAGCAGTGGCTCTATTCGGAGAGGAGGTTAATACGCTGCCGTCGTTTCGGACCTGGAAGCTTAGGGTCATTGCCGGGCAGCGCTGGTGACGTACAGTCTTGCTGAAGTGGCGAGCATTCTTCAGTAATCGCGGTGATATCGGCGGAGTTCCGGAGTTCCTCGACGTGGCCCACAGCTGCACCTTTCGTGAGGGGTTGCGTTTCTTGTCGGAAGTTCATCACGAGGACCCCAGTCCTTCCATTTTAAAGTTCAGCTACTCCTCTTGCGACGCAAATACCTATTCCCAGGAGCAATTGAAGGTTGTCTTCCAGAACGACTTCGCCGCAGGTAGCTGCATTGGTCACGGCGGGTACAACAACGCGTGATCGCGGCGGAAGGTTCACTTGGTTGGCCGCGACTCGGACTCGGAGTTTGGAGTTTCTCTGGAGGCGAAACAGGTGTCCGCAGCGTCAATTTATTCTGTTCATGGTCGATGACGGCGCCTTACTAACACAGAAAGTCCATGCCGAGAATGACGTCTCTGGCAGAGTCGTGTAGAAGGACGAATTTACAGTGCACGTCTCACCATGAATCTCGGATAGAGCAGTGCACTTTAAGACGGGCTTAAGAAGGTATCCTCTGGCGTTCGACCGTGTGGTCCACCTTAGTGCGTCATAACCTTCCGCATCGAGAGAGCCTCCCATTCAAGTTTGAGTGTACTGTCCCAATGTCCAAAAGTGCGGATGCTTCGCGGCCGTCGATAAGGACGTCTAGGTTGTTGGGCACGGTTGCAGAAAAGTCGTCGTTACCATGCGTGGAGTCAGAAGAGTGGGAGCGCTCCGGCGTCCTTCGGTCGTCCTCGGCAACGCCACTTCCGGGCTTTGCCACACTTAGTTTTCCTGGCGAGAAAGGGGCGAATTGCTCTCTCGACGGGACCGACGAGTAGGTGACACAGGGCGGCGCGGGGGCGCCGAGCGGGATCCTCGGGGAGAAGCTTGACCAGGGGATGATGCCCGGCGCGAGAACTAATTAATATCCCTCGGTCGCACACCGTACCTCGGACACGGGGCGTCTCCCGCAAACCGTCCAAGTCTAATTTCACGCTAAGCACATCATCGACATACGTGGCCAGCTTCAACGCAGTGGAAGCACACAGGTCGTCGGTCAGCCGTTCGCCAGACGTCGGTCTTTCTTGGCACAACTGGTTCACCGCACACGTGCGCTCGATCTTCCTGGCGTCGGGGATACTGCGCAGAAGGGTCGTCTCGTCAAAGTGGCGCCTGGTTGAGGGGAGTAGCCGGCGGCGACCGTCGGGCTACTGCTGTGTATGTCTCCAATGGCTCTTCGGGTGACGCCACGATAACAGGAGCCTCTGGCTGGATGGATCGCTGAACCTCCTCTCTCACTACTTTGGCGATGTAAAGTTGTGCCGGGCCTGTGGCAGCGGGCAGCAGCTTCTTGAGTTCTTCCTGGACTACTTCACGTATGATGTCGCGGATGCCAAAGAAGCTGAAACTGATGTCGTAGCACGATAGCGAAGAAGCAGCTGCGCTCGAGTGTTGATGGTAGTGGCTGGCTCTTGCGAGGAGGGCACGTTTCATGTGTATGGCCTCAGTGATAAAATATTCGATGATAGAAGTAGGGTTGCGAACAAGGCCACCGAAAATATCATCCTTCACATCTCACATGAGGATCCGCAGCTTCGTTTTGTCGGTAGCTTGAGGGTCGGCGCGAGCGTTCAGGCGCAGAGCATCCTAGACGAAGCTGGTGTGTCTCTCATCTATTCCTTGGCTCTTTGTTCGAAGGAGGTCTTCGGCCCTCTCGCGTCGGTGTTGGCTGGCAAACGTCTTCTTGAGTTCTTGCTTGCAGACCTCCCACGAATGTTAAATTGGATTTGCTTATATCGTATTATAGCTTACTTTTGGAAGGGTGACTGCGACAGCTTAACGAGGCCTCAATAAATCCACGTTCCCTAGCCACAATAAAATCTGTATCTCGAGGTTTGCTTTTACTATCCTTGTTTACGGGTCATATACACTAAGCAAACACCTCACTGGCAGACTTAGGGGGTTTCGAGATAGTTAAAAATATTACGAAACTCATAGACCACAATAATTTTGCAAAATATTTATAGAGTAAACCGCCATACACGCAGAATCTGACGCCTAAAGTAGCGCTTCGGTGGAACAAGTTGATTCTCAACTTCACAATGGCAATCACATGAATTTGTGCGGAAAATACGTGTTTGCCTTTTTAAAGTTAAATAAATTACATGCACTAAATAATTACAATATTATATCAAAGATTTTCTTTAAAGGAAGTAAAGCTTCGCGGGTGAGATTATTAATCGCGTTGATCTTGACAATATATGTCTAACATTTTTAGCACTGCTGCCACAACGAAGGCTCGTCACGTATTCCTAACTACCGCAGCAAGTTGCTCCTAAGTATCCTTAATCCCTGTTCAATGTCTCCTCATTAAGAATCATAATCACACAACGACAGCATCAACTCAACGATTTAGACCCCGCGCGTGAACCGAAACAATGATTAAAGGCGAGCTGCGGCAGCGCGCCGACGCAGCACTTGTATCCACTCTGTCTCAGTACTTGATCGTTCTGTGATGGCATTAAAATTTGAGCGAACTGGCCTTACCATCTGCCCTCTAACTCTAACCCGGCCGGGCGTTGGAATCGACGTGCTAGTTAAACCAATCAACCGTCCGTCTTGCACCCCGTGATCACGGTATCCGGGGGTATTCACGGACAAAGATTGTGAGCAGAGAACGATAAAGGCATGCGACTGATAGTACCGCAAGGATGTGTCTTCAGCAACCCTGTCAGCTTAGCTAAACAATAAATACAGTTTCAGTGGCGTTGGCCAAACACGGTGTACAAAGCGAAGTTATGATTAACAAGAAACGTTGGAGAGTTTGAAAATACAAAACTAGACCCAACGAAAATATACTTCCCAGAATAATAGAGCATAAAAATGTGCACAACGAAGTCGTCTTAATTCTCGTTGTGTTCAATATTCTTGCCTGATTTGTTTTGTATATGAACTCTCATAATATTTTTAGTTACCTATAATATGGGATCGACCAATTCGAACGCGTCGCCCGCCACAATAGCTGGACCAACGAGCAACGGCTGCAAAACGTGTATTTCTCGCTCGAGGGGACTGCCAGAAGCTGGTACGAAAATCACGAGTCTTCATTGACATCCTGGGACATTTTCAAGAGCCAGCTGAAGGCGACATTTGTCAACCAGCACCGCCGAGAGAGAGCCGAAGACTTACTTCGTACCAGGACTCAAGGCCCCAACGAGAGCATTACCGGCTTCGTGGAGGATGTTCTCCGCCTAAGCGCCCGCGCCGATCCTCAGGCTACCGAGGAGAAGAAGCTGCACCACCTGATGAGGGGTGTGAAAAGCGAGATTTTCGGCGGTCTCATCCGGAATCCCCCAACAACAGTCGACGAGTTCATCACGGAGGCGACAAATATGGAACGGGCCTTGCTAGCCCGC